ATATATATATAAGCAAGAAATATTCATTGATGAAAAATACTATATCCACCATTTGAATGTTAGTAGTGTTCTGAACTACCAACTGGGATTTTCGTATCGAAATTATTTTATCGATATTTTATATAATACATGTATCTTAGTTAGATAATAATTAAAAAAAATTTCCGTCCAGACATTATTTCTTTTCGAACGGAATAACATATTATGATCAGAAATTTGACATTAGAAAAATAAGTGGGTAAAAGTAATTTCTATGTACCAAGACTAAAACAAGATTAACTACTCAAAGTATACCCAAAGCTACCAATCAAGATAAAAAATTTTTAAAGCTATAATCAAATTTATCTACTCTGATAAAATCTTTTTACCAAGATAAAACCCAAAACCTAGACTAACTAGCAAGATATAACATATATTTATATTACATAAATACTTAATAATTATTTTAATTTGATACATTGCTCGATATATTAAAAATTAACTACTTTCTACATAACTTTATAGGCATTCATATAACGATAATTTTATATATGTTTTCCATAACTGCCTAAATAACTTGATATATGCAACTCTATAAATATAAATTCATAAGTTAAATTTTTTCTATTTTATACAGCTATATTTGTATATGTAAATTTATGCGTATGTTCCTCGCATTGCGGAAAAACTGCAGCACGTAAAGTTACCAAGCCAGTCGAAGGCTGAATTTTGAATTTCAAATTTTTATAGATTTATTTCATATATTGCATGCAATTAAGTAAATTTTGTTTAACATAACAGTGGTATAAAAGCTTTACGTTGCCTCTTGACAAATCTTAAGATATTTATGATTTAAATTTCATCAGAAATTCAGCGATATAAAAGACGTGTGTCGCCACTCTGCAAAACGCAATACATTTGCCTTTTGAATTTAACAGAGAAACTCGCATGTTTAAAGAAATGAGTTGCTGCTGCTCCAATTAAAATCTTTTTGACTGTCATGCGGTAGTCATTTAGCAAATGGTAATATATTTATTATTTTTTTTTGTCTTTTAAATTTAATCTTATAAAAAGATTTAAAACACAGGTTTGTTTCAATTGTTATTGATTATTTACATGAAATTACATCATCTGGATTCATTAAAATCATTATATACTTTTTCATTTTTATAATAACTGTTTCAGGCAGCTGGCCGCATAAGACCTAGTCTGACTAAATAAGGAATATATCAGTTATAGGTTACAACCGAAAACACCGCGAACGGAAACGTCGTGGAGAAAACAACGCAAGGCGAAAACTTCGTGGTTCAAAACATCGTGGGAGAAAATAAAGCAAAGAGTAAACATCGCAGTTCTGAAACAGGGTGGTACAAAATATCGTCGAAAATAAAGCGGTTCAAAAACTTCGTCATCGAAATTATCGTGGTAAGTACCCACAAATCATCGCATGACGATAATATTGCAGACATGCGTTTTTAAGGCTTTAATTATTGTAAATGGAGATTTGCATAATGATTTGTGAGTGCAAGATGGAAAGAAGGATAATTTTTACTTTCATATTTTTTTTACAAATAATAAATTTTTAAGAAAAAAGAAAACGAAATTTAAACAAAACAAGATATAATTTTCACTCTAAGAATATCAGATTAACAAAGGTGAAGAAAATAATCTCATAATTAATTAAGGAATTTTTTATAGATATAGTCATGCAGTTACTTATCTTTCTTTTGATGTTCTTTTTTAGATTATACTTTTCATGAAAAATTACCAGTAAAACTTAAAATTATTAAAGAAAGTTAAAGTAAATATCAAAATCATAATAGCTGGTTAGTTAATATGAAAAATTTACATACTTCTGAATGAATCATACCAGTTATTTATTAGTATAATTTAAAGTTATATTAATATATATTATAATTGATTTAAATATGATTAGTTATGTAGATTCAGACAAAAATCGCAGTTGAGTTTAATCCCGTGCCTGTGCCTCTTCTTAAATCCTTTTGTTTAGTATTTTATTTACAAAACATTTCTGACCTGAGAAGGTAAACATAAGCACGAAATACGTAGAAAAGCATTGCTTTCATTTGAGCTGCATTAAGAAATTTACTACCCGATCAGCTGATGAAATACAGTCAGATATCATGCACTGCTTCTGATACTTCGGTTTACAAATAAAGGTAAGACGCGATTTTCAGCTGAATTCATTTAAGGCATTTAAAAATATTTTTTAATTATTATATATATTTTAATCATTATATTTTAATTACTAACAATATTATAGTTGGAATTTCACATCTTCAAGTAGCTTCTTTATGAATTAAAAAAACTGATGAATAATTAAAAATTTGAATGATTGTTGTTCCATCTGTTTTCTAATTTCGTAAGAAAATCTTCAAAAGAATATTTTGAAAAATTATCAAACAAAATGTGTGTGTGATAGTTTAGTCAGAAAGACACAAATTCATTCCTTTCATTTCATAATAACTTTCTAGGTAAAGTTGACGTGTCGAGAAATATATTAACTTTCTGATTGTAACAACAAAGTATTTTTAAAATTTAAAGATACTGAAAAGTTTTCGTTAGAATTATGTTATTATCTTCTTTGACTTTAACATTTTCAGAATCGTCAAAATTCAGTTCATACATTCCTATCAATCTCTATTATTAAATAATGAAGAACTTGCATGTATGTATACATACTTCTCGCGCTGTGGAAAAATTGTGGCACCTAGAGTCAGCAAATGTTCAATACACATCGTTCTCCTTCAGGACATGTGCACCTTTAAGTCCAGATTTCGAGTGAAGAGTCTGTATATGTATGTGTGTGCTCCTTGCTGTATGGGAAAGCAGTGGTACCTAGAGTCAACGCATTTTGAATACACATGATCCTGCCCCCGAGCATGTGCATCTTGAAGTCTAGATTTTGAATTTCGAAAATGTTTCTGATTTATTTCACATTTCGCATGAATTTAATCAACTTTTGATTAACGAACCCAGCCATTTAAAAGTGAAGAGTAGTTACACTACTTGATGGTAAGACTTTTTTATCTCCAGCATACCAGACTTGTCATTCGGCAAAAGGTTAGTTACTTATCTTTCAAGAAATAATTTAATCAACAAACTCGTTTCATGAAAGCGACGTTATACAGTCTGAAATTAAAATACTTTAACTTTTGAATGGATTTATTTAAATCAATCAGTTATTTTATGTTAAAAAACTGTATTGTTAGTTCTCCCTTTACGTTTTCCTGACAGAATGCACATTTTAGCTCGCAAATGAGGGTTTGAGGCTGCTTTAGTCAAAGCGTATTCCGCCTGTTGAAGGCAAGTTACTAGATGAAATTCTACGACAGCATTTCTGTCTACGGCGTTGCTTTTATCTTGAAAATTGTGCTCTTACTCCGGTGTAGATAACTACTGGCTGATTTTGCAAGCACCGGGAGTGACTTCTGTGCAACTGTTTGAGTTCTCAATATAAGAGGGTCTTTCACACCCTTCTATGTTTCTATTTGATTAACTGGACATGAGGGTAAATAGCTTAGTTTTATTAAGAGATTTGATTACTGCATATTACCAAAAAGAGTGGGGCTCTGCAACTACTACATGCCAAAGCGTTGCCATTCGATAAAGCGTAATATATTTATTTAACTTTCAAATATAATGTTTCTGTTACTTAGTATCAAACTAAGCGATTTTACAGCAATAAACGCAGTCTTTAGATTTTAATCTGATTGATTTAAAAATGCATAAGTTCCGGAAAGTTAAATTAGAAATGTTAAATAATTTTATGGAAATGCATTAGCTAATTAAAACCATTATATATTTTATTTCATTATCCAGTACTAGAAGCATAGCGCCGCTGAATAATATGGCAATTTTGGGTAACTGATTGATTTTTTTGTCTATAGGCCAAATATTTATTTACTGCAAAGTAAGTGAGAGAACTTTATCTTTTATTTTATCCTGTTTTATTTCAAGAAAAAAATATATAGTAAAAAAATAATAGAATAAAATTTCTATTAAACTAAATACAAAACGCTCTTATTCCTACAAAACTTAATGATGAAACTACTTTTTATTTGCCTTTACGTACGGCTATTTCTATCTCAAGTCAAATAAAATAACGAAATTAATATTTACTTATTACTAAAACCAAACTCAAAACTTTTTTTTCTGTTTATACAGGCAGAAAATATATGTAACAAAAAATTTTTTCCTAAAAATCTATTAAACTCGAAGTCAGAATGTTTTTAGAACTAAAATACTAGTACTAATTAATGAAATTCTATTCGCATGTTATGGCTCAACAATGATTCAAACAATAAATAAAGTACAGGCTTATATATTATAGCAGATTAGTTCTCTTGGTAATATTTAAAACGTTCTCATTTGTGTGATGTTATGTAGTGACATGTTTTTGAATTAAACAAGCAGAATGTATATTAAGGCAAGCAAAATGTATAAACACATTAACCGAAAGTAAATTTAATAGCTTCTTTAAATAGACTATATTTTAAAGCACTATATTGTTTCATTTTCTTGCATTGTTATTTAAGCCACCGAAAATATTGAAAGTATGTTGTAAATAAATTAAAGTCAAATTTAATTTTAAATGGCTTTGAAAAAGACCGAATAACTGGAGTTTCGGATAATTAACGTTTTTGTGCCGAATCGGTTTTCAATAATACGAAATTATTGAATTAGTTACTTACAAATTATGAGTTTTCACATTAATTATTATTAAAACATTCTATTAAAACTTCAATTTTATTAGTAAATTTCTTTGCTCTTTACTTAATAAAAAGGTTTTGTTACAGAACATGTATTTTTACGTGAAGAAAAATAAATATGATCTAGGGGTTTACGCATTAAATGTTGGACATCCTTGCTGTTCTTTTCATAAAATTAAATGAAAACTACGATTAGAAAATAAGAAAAATCGCCAAATCTGGCGGATGTTCCCTTGAAACTGCGTTTACCGCCATCTATAGGAGAAATTCTAAACCGATCGAACTCACATAAGATATCTGGCAGGTCCGTATCAACGCTGGACCGCCTAACGATGTCCAGAGAGAATCTACGAGAGGGATGATCGGTGGCTGGGGGTGGAGGAATGGCGGGAACATCGTGCGTCGGAACTCCTTGGACTTCGACGGACTTGAAATTTTCAGATAAACTTTGTTGAGGAATGAGAGGCGGCCTGGAGCGATCTTGGGGTTGATAAAGCGATGGAGGATATGCCTGAAAACAAAAAAAGGAAAAACAAAATCAACCAAATTTTGTAGATAAATGGTAGCAAAATGAATTTATTTAACAAATTTCATTTACTTATTTTTAAACGTATTTTAAACACTTTTACACAGAATATTTTTAAGCTATAAAATGTCTTTAAATAAATTTTATTTCTTTATCCTTGAATATGAGCATGAACCTAAAAATGATTAATTTGCACTTAAATAACAAGTGCATAATATGTTTTCAGGAAGTTTCTTACCATTTTCTGCCCTATATATTTGGCAGAAGTATTATAGGACAGAATATGCTCTATTTGTAATTTTTAAACAACAGGAAAAAATTTTTATTATTTTTACTCTTTTCCAACCTTTTCTTTTAATTACATATTATGATACTACAGCGTACATTTTCATTTATTCAATGAGTATTTAATATTGAACCTTCAGCCAATTATTCGCTCTGTCATCAGCCGAGTGGGAAGATTTTTAAGTACTGGTATTTTGATTCAAATTCAAATTCTGGCGATCCCGACTGCATGAGAGGCTTAGTAACGTTTCCCACGCGTAACGTGAACGCAAGCCAGTTTTCCTTAAAATGGCCTCTACGAAGACATCCTTTCCTTAAGCAGATAGCTCTCGTGCAGTTTACTGCAATCTAATTCAATCAGCGAGTTATTCGCTTTGATTTAATTTAATTATCATTTTATACTGGGCTGGTCGGTATCGGGGTTAGCAAAGTCAGCTGCCATATCATTGGAACCAGGTCTGAATCTTGAAGTATCGAGTGCTGCACAGTGTTTTTATAGCATGAGTATATTTAAAATTCGTTGAAACGGAGCTCTGCTTGAGAGATTGATTGTAGAACAGAATGGGCACTAGACATTTGGATTCTACCCGCTGGAGTATTCTCGATCAAAATTGGGGTAGAAATGGATGAGAAGTCTCTCTGCCATCTGTAAATTGCTCAAGGTTATGGCCAAATTCAAACCCTATTTATTTCAGTTCCTTTTGGTCGTGAGGAAATTTTGCGAACCTTATCTGATTCAGATCATGAGGGTAAGCATCAATATTTACCATTTTTAGCAATTAAACTCATGGCCGGATTATTTTTAGATCTAAAATACAATAACAACACTCTTACTACTAAGCAAAGCTGTTATCCTAGAATTACGTTTATTACAGCTTTTGCAACTACTTTTGAATATAATAAAACATACATCCGGCACTAAGGCAAAATCATGAATTTTGCATTACATGCATCTCTTTCTTAGGTTGATTTTCGATATTTTACACTGACCTAAAAAGTGGAATAAAAAAAGTTACTCATTCACTATACGCATCTTCTGATTTTATTTTCTTTATCTCTGTTTTTACTATCTTATATTTATATCTTCTATTTATGTTTTTCGATATATATCAGTGCTCTGAAAGATAAAGATCTGATAAATTGTACAAAAGAAGTAATTTGTAAACAGGCGTTCTTCAAAATGCTGAAGTTTTTGTCTCTGTTCTACTGCCGAGCACATAACAAGAAAAGACTATGGGCACACATGGCCATATGAAGATAAGAATATGTGAATCTGATTACATATATAAAAATCAAAATTACAGAAACTTTCAAATTACAAAAGTTTAAATTGAAAATTCTAAATTACAAAAATTTACCTATTTGTGAGATTTATTGTTCTTACAATCAGTCTAAGCTAAGGGCGATAAATCACCTTCGCAACCTATGTAACATCTGAGGGGGAACTTTTAACTAAATTAATCCTTCAAACACAATATACGGTTTTCTCGAGAAATACCTTTATTTATTTGAGCATTCATATATCAAAAATAGAGCCGACGCGGAATCAAACCCGTTTCAGATATTTTTCGAGAGAAAATGCAAGAAAAATTCCGAAATAGAATGCATTGTCTAAAACCAAAATTTCAAATCTGGAATATGTATAATATGGATTTTACAAGAACATGATTTAAAAATTTATTACAACATTGAATTCATAAATTGTAGCTTACTCATATTTATTTATTTCTAATGATAAAAAGGAAAATGTTTTAAAATCTTTAAATTTGGACATTATAAACGTCAGCTTTCTTCAATATTTTAACCTATATAAAACGCGGCAGCGTACATTTTACAACCATAAAAATGGCTTAGAAGGATCGTTTCCTGTACGCCATTAATATCAGAACTATGCTATCAAGGAATACGAATAAATGAAGAAGCTTTGCAATATTTCGTTCGATGATGAATTTCCTCTTGAATTCCTTTTCAAAGGAAATGGACAGTATAAAAAGTAAGAAACTTCTTGAACAATGATGTCTGCAAAGTCTGCAAGTCATTTATAGAAACAATAATCCTAAAGGAATTTATCACTATTTTAAGAGCTGTACCAAGAAATAATGCGATACTCAATGGATTTATTTATAACCAAGGTCTCCCTATAAATGCTTTTTATTCAGGTCGTTATTTCTTAAGAGTATTCAAAGAGACGGAGTAATTGATGTATTTTTTTTTTAGACTCGCTTAAATGATCGACTTTAATTTTATTTTTCATGGTTTTCGTCCTATTAAGTTGAAAGCAAAAGATGCACATCTGCTAAGTTCTAAGAAGACATTTAGCAAGTGCTTTGTATGAGTTAAATCTTAAGCAATTCTCTTGGTATAATCTTCAAGGAGGTATTTCTACTTAACCAAAATATTCCAATGAAATATATAAAATGAATATTTATTTTTTTAATGTTAACAATTTTCAGTTAGTATTGCATATTCAAATATAATTATTTTATCTCAGTTAAAAACACAAAATAGAAAATATGAGATATAAATTGAAAATAGTTTAAGTATTGAAATTGTCACCGGTGAATCACCTTTCACTGAATTACTGTATTTACAGTACTGTATTTACAGGAAAGAACAGTGTCCTTTCCTTAGCCATTAGTCCGGAAATTCTGTGGCTCTTTAGCATAACCATAATTCTTGGCTTTGAATTTAGCATATACTGTTAATGGGCTATCACTTACTCCTACGTCTGCACATGCGAGAGAAATTATATTACGCAATTAAAAGACAAATTAGACTTAGGTTATATGTGTTAGACTTAAGTTATATATACTAATATGTGTCAGGTTCTTTTTGAAAATATTTAGGAGTCTAAAAAATCTTTTATTGTGGAATTTCGGAAGTAGGATTTTCAATCTTATATTAGAGACATTTTTTAAAAATTAATTGCATAAAGATGTTTATATTACTGTGTATATAAATTGTGTGTTAAACTAACTAAGTGGCATTAATAAGCTTTGCACTAGATTCTCTGTTCTACAGTTCGATTTAATTACAGGAGTTGTACATGGAAACACTTAAAATGACAAATAGTGTACGTAATGTGGAGCAAGGTACCTTTATCAGTCTGACGCCTTCTTGGAATGGATGCATGCAACTCGGAATGATGATAATGGATATTTTACATCATTCTTCTATCAGAAAGTATTCCAGCTGTGCCTTAATATTCTGCTTATGTAATTTTCTTCGTATTATATGTGTCAAAACGCAATTCGGTGGACTCAGTAATTCCCTTTACTGCGGCAGATTTTTGTTTTGACTCAGCAATACTCTGTAAGGTCCTTCTTATTGTACAAATTTCAATTTTTATTCACGATTCATATTCACAGATGATATTTTCCGTTTGCATACTGTCATGACTTTAGAATGGTATCTGTCGAAAGCCCCAATAATTTTGCAGAGGTAACAAGTGTACCAAAGACGGAGAACAACAATCTGATTTCTCTGGAACCTATTCGAGTGACTCATTTCCTTTCGCTAAGCTTCAGAAACTACAAATGAAATTTGCTATTTAACAGTCTTGTAAATATATGTGAAATAATCATATAAAAGTACTGCAACTACTTTTACAGTTTTTCGGTCTAAGGTGCAATCGATAGAAACAAAACTTTAAAGCACAGTATTCCCATTAATATCAGAAACATTTGAATTCTACTCAAAGTAAATTTATATGAGGTTTATTTATGTAAAAGCATTATTCTCTTTAAAGGAATTCTTGATAGCAGTTTCATACAATAAATTCTTTGAATTTTGGAAGCAGTGTAAACATTTCTATTTTGATCAGCAAATGCCGAAGCTAAATTATGAAAACGAGATAAATAATATGGAAAAGATTCAAACACTAAGTCTTTAAGCAACGAAAATCGTTGTTTAAGGTAATCTAATGCATTATCTCAACATATTACGCATTTGTAAAATGTAAACATGATTATCAAACCCTCTAGTAAGTAAAATTAAAACATAGCAGTGAGAATGAAATCAAACGCAAGCATGTACCCATTACATTTTGCATTCATAAATGACATATTGATGTAGGTAATCGGAATGCATCGAAATAAACAATTTAAATAGATAGTAAATGTATAAAATACTAGAAAAATAAAAGAAGTATTTTTTGCCATTCGTATTCGTATTTTTTGAGATTCGTGTATCTATTGCGTTCAAGCAGAGATCAAACTGTTGGAAACTGTGGTATTATCCTACGGATGATATTTAAGACCCATTGCGTGCAATTTGAAATGCGAGGTATGGTAAACTACGAAACCAGCGTAGCTAGTGTATGGTATAGGATGAATGCTTGTAATATGAAATTAATGTTGTGAGGATTTAGAATGACCATAATGATTAATAAGATTCTCTGAATTTATCCATGTTGTTTGATATATGTTATAGTGTAGTAACTGGAATTGATGTAGCGCAATTAGCCACTAATGTGTATCCATCAGACACATTTAATACACTAATGTATTGCCCAAAATGCGAACACTTTCTACGCAATAACACAATATATTAATATGATTCATTACAAATCTAAGAACTACAGATGTTTCGCAAATATTTAACGCTTCGTATCATGTGATTTTGGTAAATTGTTATATGTAAGTAGAAATGCATACTCCGTTCTCATAAATTTCAAAAAATATACTTCTCTGCTTTGAAAATTAAAAGTAAGTGGGAAACAAGTAAATAAAAAGTGTGGCAATCACGAATATAACTTAGAATTATATAAGTAATTGCTCATTTATACTTTTATTGTATACTGTATAATCTATGCACTGTATACTAACATATTATTTATTCATTGCATACTATAGTACTTGGCACTTGCAGAATATTGAAAGATGCACTATATTGCAATTGCTGGTACCAAAGACCTTTTCGTTGTACCAATGCATGTATGATATATAAATGCTGCTGTTCTATAAGAGCAGCTATATTTAGAGAAATATAAATACGAAAACGTGTGAATCATTAAAAAAACTAAAAATATGTTGAAAATATGCGCGGATGGGAACCATAATTCTCATGTTATTTACTATATTTTCCGAAGCTACCAAGAATATAGCTGCAACTCAGTTATTTCGTTATTGTAATAAGTCTATTGAGTTATTATAGTATAGTATAAAGAGGTCCCTCAAGACGTTATTGTGTATCACACATTCAGAAATCAATCTAATATGTTCCTGTCAGTAAAAGGTGAATGTCTTTCTTTTATATGGAGATTGCTGATTTTGTTTGACAAAAAATATAAAATTATAATTGCCTGAATTCCATTACGAAGTTTCGTAGATTGAAGATCTTTAAAGTATTGTACTTTGTGTGTTTCTAAGAAAATATTTGTATTTTGACTCTTTGTTTTATAAATTATTACGCTGGGAACACTTGAAGGAACTTTATGTAACAAAGAAGGAAGGAAGGTAGGAAGACGCCATTAAAAGTAAAATTTCTGTTAACCCTAGCTTTCATTTGTTTCTTACTTATGATTTCTTATTTTTCTTACTTACGATTAAAATGAAATAAAATATAATTATGGGATTAAAATGTGCTTTATTCATGCAAAAGAGGGTAGATAATTATTATAGTTATTATCTCGTAAAATATTCTAAATCAGTTTCAGTTTTTCCTTAGTAAATCCATCAGTTACACATAATCAGCATTGAGTTTAAATATTTTCCTTGTTTTCTGCAAATAAATATCGTTAGGCTAGCAAAATAAGATGTAACCTATGAGAGCCTTTCATTCGTAATTAAAGAAATATCTTCCAAAATCAAGTTTGGGAATTCAAATTTGGGAAAGTATAATTCCTTTTCATCGAAAGTTTTATCGAATCATATGAATATATACTCATATCATATTCATCAAATGGGAAAAGATATATAGCTGCAGGTATTTTAAGGATTATTATGACAGAAAAGTTCTTATGACAAGTATTAGAAAGAAGATATAAAATTAAATAGAACAGACAGTTAGAGAAGACAATATTCAACGTACAACGTAGCCGTTGCATCCAAGTTCTTCGTGTGTAGCCAGCTGCGCTCTCTCTTCTTTATTTCCCGTTACCCAAGCGAAGAGATAAGTCCAGCCGCCGAGCATCCGGCACATACCAATGAGTCCGGCTGTGACCATGACGCTAACTCCGATCAGAATGAGAGCAACTGCCCACTCATCCATTTTATCTTGAGCTTCCTGACCTGCAAATCAATGATTGAGAGTTAATGGCCAAGTAAGATAAACTACGCAAGAAAATCGATAATTCTCTTTATCGGTTATTTCGGAATCCTTTTGCAGTTCTTTGGCCTTTTCTGTTGTTCGGTTAGCAGGTTAAATACTTAAGGCAAAGCACTCAGACCTTATCTACCTAGGGATGCTTTTTTTCATATAAGACAGGGGTGGACAAACTTCAGAATAAACGTGCTAAAATACAAGAAAATTGAACAACCGAAAGTACGTTTGTACAGTTTATGTTATTTAACCCGTTTTATTATGATATGGATTTAAGCTATCACTTTTTCTTTTTGCTAGGTATCACCAAGAGGTAAATGAGTTAAGATTATTTAAAGCGGACATCTTGAAAATTTGATACAGAGCTTTTGGCAACGATGCTTGTAATTTTGTCTCGCCTATATCTGTTACATAAATTAGTCAGTATTAGCCATTTTACTGGCCGACATTAAACCGCACAGTTAGAAATTTCAGCCTACGCTTAGTTAGGGTATTTAGTTTGTAGTCTGCAATTGCGACCTCATTTACATTTGTAATTTCAACGTTATGTTATAGAAATCTCGCAAGTGGCAGAGTTTTAATTTGTATGCACAAGGTGTGCATTTTGGTAGGTTTAAAAGTTAACAAAAAGATTGTTTAAAACCTTTCATGTTACGATTATATTTTCCCAGATGGAGCGATAAATCACTTGCCAGTCTAAGTATGATTTAAAGATTTAAAGTTAATTTATCCAGAGAACAACCATACGTGTTTCCAAGAGCCACTAGTTGAATAGAAAGAAATGTAAACATTAAATGCAAATTTGGTTATCAGGTACATTTTGTGCTTTCAAATGCAAGTTATGACTATGCGGCTGGGGCGCTAGTGAGGCGATTCCCCTATGTAGTGATTGGTGTTGAATGCGTTTGAGTTAGGCTGCGTATTCACTGCATTCTGAACTAAAACGTCATTTAATACAAATCTAAAATAAGCATTATTAACATACCAACACAATTTATAATAAATGTTTCAATGCACAGGAGCTAATTATTTAGAAGTAAGTACAGTTATTGTTCTCACTATCTGAGGATCTTGTTAGCGGAAAGAGTCTCTCTAGGAAATGTTTCTGAGCGGTCTGTCTACTTGCTCTTTCTGGAACACTTTTCAGACTAAATTGGTCGCGCCTTTTTAATTTTTCAGTTATATTGTACGTCTTCTGATTCGCTATAGTTGAAGACGATAACAGAAAAGCTGCAGGATCATTGGTTGGTCAGCTCCCTGAAATCGAGAGGCTTTGATAATTGACACAGTGTAGATAGCTAAAATTTCTTCCGAAGATCGTGAAGTTCCTGAACAAGTTATTGCTACAACAAGTTATTTGTAATGTCAAGTTCATCAACAAGTTATTGCTTCTGTAATGTCAGAAAATGACGTCTTACACCTCGCAACAACTCGAAGATTGCTAATTGTGATGAGACCGCATGTATTAATTTCTTACCTTTGTGTGGTCCGTTGCGCAAATAAACGTTTTCAGAATATCATTCAATAAGATTTGAGATACATGAGCAATGCAGCACATTGCTATTTTATTTATCCTTTATGCTGGCCTGATAGCTAATTCTGACCGTTCTACAACCTAGAACTCATCCCAAGAGAGAGATCTGGGAGAAGCATTAAAATAAAGGCAAGAAGAATGGGATGCAGGTTCTCAAGGTAGAAGTGCCCATGTATTTTACCACCAAGATTTCACTGATAGACTTATCTCCACCCTTTGTAACAATATTTGTAACAGGTAACGGTCCCTTCCCAGAGTGTTTCTGTAAAAGAGGATTAGTCTCATCTAAACTCTATGCGTGCGGCAAGGCTGGTACTTCAGACCATTAAACTATAAATGCATGCCCACTCATAGAAGCGTGGTACAAGCGGCTGCCGGTTGATGATGCACCCTTCATACGCTTCTTCATTGCCTGCTATTCTCAGAAATTTTAAACTCATAATGGAAAAATTGCAGGGTTTGGGACAGGACCTTTGTCATGTTACCTTGTGCACTATTGATTCCTGCCCAGTCTTCAATACTGAGCGCCGCCTGAGTTAACCACTGATCTAACTTTGTTGTAAAAGTCTTAAAGTGTTAATAGTCATCCTGGCAGAAGGGAATATTTCCTCCGTGTAAAAATATAAATATAAATATTACATGGGCATACAAGGTCTTTGTATGAGCATAGATATGTTGATTACAAACATTGTCTTGTACAAGTTACATGTGATAGTTATTAAAGTAATGAAGTTTTATGTACATTTAAAACATTATCTGAATTCTATTACGATACTTTTACTGAGATAATCAAGTAAACTTGTAATTATTTACAAATTGACTGGATTCAATATCATTAAATGCTTTACAATATTTTTTACAAGTACTACAACTGGAAGTATATGCTTACTTACAAATAGTTTTGTCTTACAGTCCTGTTACTATTCTACGGGGTGAGCTTTTTTTCTAATTGCTATTAAAATTATGCTGCGAAGATACAATTCTCAAGGGAGGGGGAGAATTTCTTAGTACCTTGCTGAGCATACCCTGATTACCTCCTCTTTTTTAGTTTTCGTCTGCTTGTTGCCTCAGGTATTCTCCGCTTATTGCGGCCAGTATTCACTGCTTAACATTTTTAAATGCAGTTTATCGGTTTGTGGGCAGTTGAAGATCTTGCCCCTAGGTGTCTCGTTATATGGTACTAGTGCTCTTGTGCGGCATGTTAGTGTGTATTTAGTGTGTGCATGATGGTGTGTGGTGTGGTGTATTTAATTATGGCAAAGCACACTAGGGCTATCTGCCTAAGGGGAGGAGTGCCTTCGTGGAGCATTTTCTAAGGGAAACTGGCTCGTATACACGTTACACATGGGGAAAACCACGAAAACGCCCATGCAGCCAGCCCGTTCGCGGGATTCGAACCTCAGACCGAACTACCAGTGTTCAGCGACTTTACCGCTCGGCCGCTGGTGGGCTTAGTATGTGAATAATAGAACCCTGTACATGAACACTGTGAAGAAACAAACGTACGTACAGCAACTATATATGGAAAATGCACTACATCAACTTATGTGTGTGTCTGTGTGATAATCTGTATGTAATATTTTGGCAGTCGGGCACATGAATGAAGCTTGGCAGAAATGATGACACAGAAGAAGTTAATTGTTTTTATACCACATCTTTATTTAATTAAAGGGCATATCATCACTCTTTACTAAATACGATTAAATTCAATGCGTCATAATATTCTAACAAAGGGAGGCAGATGAGAGAGCAGCAGCATACATCTTAATAGCAGTGGGAGAAAATGGTCTCTCTGGCGCAAAATGGCGCGAGTTCTCTATTTATAGAAGCGGTTACGTAATAGGCTGAAATGTTAAAAGTAGTGGTCTAGGAGAAAGATCCTGAAATTGCGGAAAGTTAATTAGAGGTTGCTTGTTCGCATAGAGCAAAGCCGTCCTATTTTTTATATTTTACATTTCCCTCCCCCTCAAAAACAAGACGCCAGGCTGGCAAAGCATTAGTACATTAGTGAAGCAAGAAGTATGAGGAAAGACATGCAGAAAAACATCCAGGACATAGCGTACAGGCTTTAACTATGGCCTATCATAAATCATAACCTTTCTCATATAATTACAAAATTTTTGAATTATATAGTGATTTATAAATAAGCATATAATCTATAACTAAATGTAGAACTATAAGACAATATATGGAAGAATAATAATAAATAATAAATTAAATCCTAAAAGTCCTCAATTTTTCTCAAAATGTTCGTTGAAAAGTTTGTAAAGTCCTTTTCATCTAATGAAGATATTGGTTTAAGTCTCTTGATGCCAATAAGTCCACAAGATAAAAATAAGCTCACAAATATTATGCACTTTGTTCAATGCATATGGTTCCATAATAATTTTTGAATAGAAGATGTATAAAATTTTTACGGGGAACATTTTTTTTTATAAAACTCGAAGGTATACAATTTATGCATAATGCTTCATTCTTCTCATCGTAGGTAATTAAATACATGACATATTTAAGTAATTTAAAATTTAATACAAAACATTATGATTACACCGTAAGAAAACAATTTAATATAAATCTCTAATAATATGATGTAATATTTAATAAGACAATAACACCTTGAATAAATTCTTTGGCATGTCCTCTCCAACAGATCGGCGTAACTAGGTTGCTGATGGTTAGGGGTGCTACGTACAAAATATCAAAAATCCTCTGTTGCTTAATAAAAGGTAACTGGTTTTTGGCATTGTACATTGTATCAAAGTGTTTTTGTAAAAATACAAAATTCTACAAAATTAAAATTTAAAACAAAAACTTGTATAATCAAGTTAAAGTCTTTGCTAAATTGGAACAGAAAGATAGTACTCTACAACAAGAAGAAAGAGAAAAAAATTGTTACAAAATAATGTAAGAAAGAAAATGTTTGGTTTTCTAAAATTATGTGAAAAATATAAAAGGTCAAGATCGGGAAAATAATTTGTCATAGTTAGGGTTTAGATCTAAATCAGGTACTAATCGGTCATAATCAGGAAAAATTTCAATAGAGAATTTTGAAAAATTAAATTAATTTTGGACAGAGATAGGAATTCTGCTAGTTCTAACAGTTAATTTAAATTCACATGCTGGATTAAAAGGTCTTAGTCTAGTTGAATGATCAATTTCTGATCTCGTTTTAGTTAGATTATTAGGTTAATTAATAAGTAACTTCAGAATATTGTTTTAGAATTTTGTCACAGAATGAGGGGTGTTATTATATTTTTCAGTTACTTTGGGTAATAATTTTGTCTACGCAATATTACTTTGATAAGAATTTAGCTTACATTTTAATCTAATTATAATCATTTGATTAACATGTTCAATTTTAACGATAATAGATAAACATTCCAGCTCAGTAATTGCATAATTTTGTTCATAAGATTTT